AGTCACAGCTTCGGCAACAGGGTAACAAAGACATCGGCTAGGGAGGACGACGCTTGACTAAGCTGTGCCACACCTTGGCCGGGGTGTGCCACATCTCGGCCTAGGCCATACCTGCCTGCGGACAAGGTTCACTAAGTGCAAGACATCTCGGCAATAAGCCCGAGGTGAAGATGGGGATCGACCAAGGTCTCAAAACAGTTCTAAGTACAAAGGCTCAGGGTTGGTCAAATCTCAAGATGACCTCGGCTACACGCCGAGCAAAGAACAAAATCATGCAAGCAATACTTAGCCAAAACGCGGCAAGGCAAAACTAGCAAAATAACATATCAAGACAAGATCATGCATGAATGTATGCAAGTATGACAAGAGTAAGGTGAGGGTTGTCACAAGTTACATGTACATAAAGTAGAGAAGTCAAATTATAGATACCTCATTTTTGACCGCCCTTAAGATTTGGACGCCTCAGGGTGAACACTTGATGATGACATAGTACGTTGAACAAACGTTCGATTTCCTCAGCAAGAAGCTTCGGTTTTGGGTTTCAGAGCCTAGAACCTTACACCCCTTTTGGATCAAAACCTGATTTTTTCTAACCTGGCCACTCAGAGGCCTGCTGGCGAACAGGTGGCCGGTTGGCCATTTTTTAGTGGCTGGCCGTCCCCCTATATGGCCCGTCGGCCGACTAGGTTTCCTGGCAGGAAGATATTTGTTGCCAACTGTTCCCTCCATGTGCATGCACTGCACTAGTTAACTCAATACAGATATTTCCGAGATAGGAAGTTGTTTTTCTATATATACTTGACAATCCCTCTTGGTTTTAGGTTAGAAAATTCTCAAAGAGACCAAATCTTGCTAAGGACTCTCCCTCTCTATATTGCAATATACATACACTTCCTAAACCAATATTTGGATTGAGATTATTAAGCCAAATTTTTAGCTCTTTAGGGTGATCACTTGATGGTTTGTGAACCAAAGAGTAACTCGTCTTCAACAGGTATAACTTTTGTCATCTTTACACTACTTCTTCCTTCTCTTTTCTTGCTATTTTTACATTGTCTTTGGACTGTTTTTGGTGGATTGAAACTTGTGATTTAAAGCTACCAAAGGTGGAGGGGTTAATCACCCTTCTTTGAGCCTTATTCCATAGCTTTTATCCTTGTGTTTCCCATTTGTTTCTCAACTTTTGACTACTGATTTTCAGAGTTTTTAGGGGCTAAACACATGTGATTTTGAGGTTCAAAAAGTGGAGGGGTTAGCCACCATTTCTTAGGCTTGCTTACTAGCTTTTATTCTATTCCATTTTGCTCACTTTTTCTACCTTTCCAAGGCAATTTCCAGCACTGTTTTGTGAGTTTTAGGACTATTTTAATATATTTACTTAGTTTATGCCTTGCATAGTATGCTTGTATTGCTGTAAGTCCTCATAGGTTTGGTGATTTAGGCCTTAAACACCAATCTATTTGAGTTGATAGCTTCTTATTTCATAGTTTTCATACATATACTCACACTTGTAATAATCATCTCCGCAACCTCTTTACTTTCTTGGTTTTCTTCATTTTTTTTAAGAGTTGTTTCAAACAATTGATTGTTGTTCAAGGCATGGGAAAGAGACCTTCCATGCTTAATGATTTAATCTCTTCGGAGGTTCATTACCAGAACATTACAACTCTCTCATGCAAAGTGCAACTTCTTGTTTTACACTTCTCTTCATTTAGTGGACATAACTCTCATTTTTGGACAAATGAATTAAGTAATGGAAAGGTAATGTTAAAAGAGGTTAAAACTTGGACTAAAAGTGGTATCAAGAATAATTAAATCAAGTCGGATTCAATCAGATGTTAATTGAACCTATTGAGTCTTGAATCATTACATACTCATAGTGATGTTAATGGTTCAAGGAGCAATGTTCACCCCTTTCCTTGAGATGACTCCATGATAAGGAAAAGGTTTTGTTGGTCTTCTATTTCCATTTATTAAGCCTTTGTCCTATCGATTCATAGATCATCACGTAACGAGTTTGCATCGATTGATGGTTTGTGGATTAATTCCACTCCTCTCTTAATCAGGTCCTTGATAGGAAGAGGCAGAGAGGACAAAAATTTCCTGGGAACACTCTGTTTGTGCTCTGTTTTGAATCTGTGGTAGCAGGGCATCCCTCAAAAGCAATGGCTGGCCAACCACAACTCTGTACGGCCGACCACTTTCCAAGGCCAGCCGGGCAATCCATTTTAGGCAGGCAATGTCATTTTCATGACAGAACAGAATAGAAGCTGGGGCAAAAACAGATTTATTTTCTGACTGCAAACATAACAGAATCTGGCAATAGAACAGAGGAGTTTCTGGGAGGATGTTCTTGGTTGCACGTGTGATTCTTTGACTCTCGTTCGAGTTCATCGGCTTGTAGCTCTTAAACTCTTAGATTAATTAGTGTATTGTAATTAATTAGTTAAAATTCCTTTGAATTTGTAATAGCTAGTTTAAATTAGTTAATTAATTTGGTGTTGTAATAATTAGTTAATTAGGACATTTATTCGGACCCTCTTGTATCAGAACAAAATTGTAATATTGTGTATGTCTTCCAACCCTCATTTCTTTCTCATTTTTATTTACTTGCTTATGATGGTTGCATGTTGCATTCATTTTTTGGTTTCACATCATTACCATGTATAAAGTATCCGTTCTTGCACGCATTGGGTTCGGTTCATCATTCTAACCATATTGTCATTTTTTTTTACTTACTCGAATACGTGCACTGATCGCATGCTTTGAGTTAAGCCATATGCCATGTTACTAAACTGAACCCCTTAGTTGCATTTTATATGTGTTGCATTTAGTCAGTTGCATAGTAGAGCATACATTTTTCTAATAGTTTTATTTCCTTTGGCTTGCCTCAGTTGAGTACTAGGTGAGTATTTCTTGCTTTAGCATATTGCATGTGTGTTTGTGTTACCATACCAAGCATATTACAATGAGGCTACATGCTTATTTGATATACCTCTTGAATGCTTGTAAATGAAGGTTTTTTCACTTAAAGTTGGGATGATTTGATTAATATAAATATGAGCTTGCTTTTCAAGTGGCACATATGCAAACACTTTTAAAAAACAAACATGAAATCAAATCGTTGAGAATTTTGTGAATTAGTTTGCATCACATAGTAAAGATAGTATAATAATCGAAGCAAGAGCATATATTGTGTATAAGAATCACATCATGATTAGTAGAGGCCGATTTTTGATCGGGTGAGTAGAGGTGCTCAATTCATGACTTTCCCCTCTCATACCTAAATTCTCGAGCCGAGATACTTTGGTGATGACGGACAAGTGGCCTTTGGTAGGAGTCACTGCTTTCTTAAATTTTTCAAAAATATTTAAGTGGCGACTCTGAGTTCTGACAATGCGGTCCATTTTTAGCATTTTTAATTAAAAATCAATTTTCTAAACATCTGCGGGATTTGGACTCATTTGTGTTCTTTCTGTTTCATATTGCACTTGTGAAACCAGATTCAGAACAACGGGAGTCCGAACTGTAGGGCTTTTGTATCCGAGGAGACTAAACCCCTCCGAACAAATGTGTAGGTTATAAGGGGTAAAATGGAAAGATGTGCTAAATTAATTTGGGTTTGGACGTCATGGGTATTAAGTCTGGTCCAAAGGACTGGCCCATAACTCCCTCTTAAAAAAATGGGCACTCAGGCCATAAGTTCAATTTTAAATCTTTTGGGTTATTAGACCCATACTCTAATAATTTTGGACACTCTAAAAGGATGAGATTAGCATCTTATAGGGAAAGTGGATTATAGGAAAAGACTATTTTGCTTTCTATTTTATAAAAACGACAATCATAATTTATGTAAAGAAGTATTTTAATGTAATTTTATAAATTTAATCTCAATTAGTTAATATCATCACGTTAGTATATAAACAGATACAAATTTTCTTACATTTTCAATTTAATACCACAAAACTAGTAATCTCAACACTCAATTCACTGTTCTCAATCCTATCCTGTAGAGACTTACGCTGTATTTGGTTCGGGGATTTGAGAAGGAATTTGAAAAAGGAAAAGGGAAAATATGTTTGAAATGTAAGTATATTTTATTTTGCATTTCATTTACGTTTTTTTTTTCATTTCTAAATCCTTTGTTAATCCCTTCCCAACTATGCAACGTTAGGGGTGATAAATGAGTCAAACATGTCAAACAGTTAATTGTTTAAGTTTGATTTGAAATTTTTTGCAAGTTTCAAAATTTATTTAAACTTGATTCGGTTAAATTTTTAGCCGATCTCAAATGAGCTCTTGTCGAGCCGAACTCAAATAGTTGGTATTTTATGTACTTTTAAGCATATCAAATCAAACAAACCAAATGAGCAATTGACTAGTTAAGTTTTGTTTAAAAAATTTTACGAGCTTTAAAATGTATTCAAAATTGACTTATTTACTTAACAAATTAAACTTAAACTTTTAAAACTTTTAACAAGTCAACCAGGAGTCGAACCCGAGTTATTTAGTACATTGACTCATGAAGTCCATGCAATTTTTACTAACCAAATATATAATTTATGTGAAATTCACCATATTACTAATTCAAATTCATCTTTGAAAATAAGCAATAGTGGCCCAAAGAGTCGAGTGTAATTTACCCTTTTTAAGTTTATTGCCACCCCGATTATGTTGAGAAAAAAAAAATTAACATTATAAAAATTGATTACGCAACTAAACACAATCATCATAGGAGATGAATCTTGTGTCTAATTTTCTAATTAATTTCTCCAAGTGGCATAATTAGTCTATCAACTTCCGTTTCAGTTTCATCTTGATCTATCATGGCACTCATTTACTCCACTCCCAACAAACTATCCACTAGCTCAAACAGTTTCAAAGGACACCATCTCCCAAACCCAAAAAGCGAAGAAAAAAGAACTAATATATATAAAAATAAAATATTCAACAAACCACCCAAGCATTGCAAGCCACAACAAACAAAATCAGGTACACAATTTTTAAATTTATATATATTATGTTATTTATTATTTATATGTAACAACCATTTAAAAACAAAGAACCACAAAAAAAAGTACAAAGTCTCGCAAAATTCTACAGTTTCTCTGCAGATTTTATACGAAAGAGCCACACAAGGCACATGTAGAGCACGAGATGAGTTAACAAGGCCCATTCATGCACTCTTTTTTCCCATTTTACCCCCCACTTCCCTCCATTTTACATTACAGAACATGCATTAGGGTTCTCATCACTGAACATCTGTGGTGGTGGGTAAGCATGTTGTGGTGGATAAGCATACAATTCGGACATCGGCGCCGGCGCCGGGTATGGATACGGGTATGGATTTGTATTTGGGTATGGGTAGGGGTACGGGTTTGTATTTGGGTACGGGTATGGATACGGGTCGGGATAGGGGTTGATCTGGTAATTATGAGGGTAATTGTAGTAGAATTCATTCTTCTTCAGCTCCACCACATTGGCACCCTCTCCCTCCGCCACCACCACTGCTTCTGGTGGGGCCGCCACAGCCGCCTCTCCTCCGCCATCTTTCTTCTCCGTCGCTGCCGCCTCTCCGCCCTTGCCGGTGTCCTTGGCTCCGCCATCGCCCGCCTTCTTCTCTTCCTTGGGCTTCTCTTCCTCCACTTTCTTCTCTGCTTCTTGCTTCACTATCAAAGCTTGCTTCCCTGTTCTCTTGTACACATACTCCACCAGCTTTGGTGGGTCGAGCACACCTTTCACTGTCACTTGTGAGCTCTTTAGATCTGGTTCCACACTTTCAACCCCTTTTTATCATTCAAAGAAAATTGGATGAAGAATTAGCTCAAATCAGTGGGGTTTAGTTAAAATATCAAGAAATTGATGGTGATGGAAGTCAAAGAAAGATTCTAGTAACCTAACATTTAATTGATGTAAAAAAACAGGTCAATTTGATTTCAATTCAAAGGAACTACGTAGAATAATCTCAATTGAGAATTGAATACTTTATACCAATTAAAGAAAGCCCAAGAATAAATAATTTTTTTTTTTAAAAAAAAAAAAAAAAACCCTATTTCTTTTCGGGGTTTTTCTTGGAGAATCAAATCAAATAGTGAGTGAGTAAAAAGAAGAAGCTTTACCGTCCATTCTGAGTATGCGTCTTTTGATTTCTTGAGAACAAGCCTCGCAATGCATGTAAATTTTGAGAACCACTGTGATGACCTGAGGCTGAAGCAGAGAAACAACAACCCAAAAAACAAAAAGAAAATATTCATGAATTCTTCAAAAACCACATAGAAATGAAATGAATCTGAAAACGAGAAAAACATGTACAAACTGACTGACCTCTTGTTTTTTGTCTAGAGGTTTGGCAACTTCTTTCTCATCGGCCTTTTTGGCATCTTTTGGAGCCGGAGGTTTTGGGATAGGAGAGAGAAGCTCAACCTGGCGGTGGCTCTTCATCTGGACCCTCTCTAGAACCTTCACTGGATCTGCCTTTGCTCCCTTCACCACAACCTTGTGGGTCTTGCAATCTGTCTCAACTTCTTCAACTCCTGTAGACCAAATCAAACCAAATCAAACTTCATTCACTAAATCGAAAACCCAAATCAAAAACATTTATAAATAAAAACAATTATTAAAGAACCAAGAAATATTATTGTTTTTTTGGACCTTCGAAGTTTTTGAGGCATCGGCGGACCTTTCTGGCGCAGCCTTCGCAATGCATGTAGACACTCAACACAATCTCTTGAGGCGGTGGTGGTGGTGGAGGATCCTTGGGTTCCTCAGCCTTCTTGTCTTCTTTCTTGTCTTCGCTTGGCTTCTCTGCTTTGGGTTCTTCTTTCTTTTCCTCTGCCTTTTTGGGTTCCTCTGGTTGCTTTTCCTCCATTTTCTTTTCCTCTGGTTTCTTTTCTTCCTGAACAAACACCATTAAAATCAGCACCAAAACATAAATATATGTGAATTTTTTAAAAAGAAAATGAAAGGAGAAATGAGAGATTTTGAGACCTCTCCCATTTGCGGCCAAGATTAGAGAAATCAAAACGGTGGGATGTGGGGGAAGATAAATGCTGATAAGCTTAAAAGGGCCTAAGACACCTGGCTGTCTCTGTCTCTGTCTCTCAACCTCGCACTTCTATTTTCTCTGTTCTCTTAAAAATATTTTAGCTTTTGTAGTGGCGGTAACTGCTCTTCTAAGTTATCAACCTACGCAAATTCATAAAATAAAAAAGTATTATATTTAAAAATTAAATTTACTTTATAAATTTAATGATGTGATACTTTATTATAAGCGGAGAACTAGGAGTTTTTAAATAGCTTGTGGACATAAAAAAACTCGATATTACCTAACACGACTAATCTTTCCCAGCCCGCTTGAGTGCCCAACCTATCCCAACTTATGAAAGACGATTTAAGAGTTTAGACAAATATTTGTAACCCGAGTCCGCCCATAAACTCGGCTGGTAAGAGCTTGCATGGATAAGTTTAATGCTTAGTTTGATTTTTTTGGAATCTAATGTTTAGTTTGATTTTTTTTATTCTCATGTTTAAATATTTTCTTTTCGTTTCGATTTTTTCCCTTGTAGGTATTATATGTTATTTGATTTTTATTTTATTTTATTATATAAGATGTAAGAAGGTAAAAAAATCAAAATACTTTAATTATGTGGGAAAGTAAATAAGAAAAATAACTAATGAAAATATTAAAAATATGTGAATGAAAAATGTGTAGAACTTGTATTATGTGTAATCTGGTTCGTTTTGATTTTGACCCATAAGATTTGAATTTATGGGTGAAACATGATTTTAGTTTTTTAAATAGGCTTGACCCATACCAACTGGTTGACCGGTCAAAACCTGAGAAACCTGTTAAAATAAGAGATTTGGACACAATAGTTACCGGATGGGTAAGCCTGGCCTGGCCCATTGATAACTCTTAAGAAGGATTCTCTCTAGTCCAAATTGGACTGGAGGCTGCTAGTTGGGCATGTGGGGCCTATCACGAGTCTCATTTCGATGATCTGAATCGTTTATTTTTTAGGATACTTCTGTATATTTAATCCATATAAAAAATTAGATTGATCAAATAACTGTAACTTATTCAATTTATTATGTTTTCAATAAAAAAAGTTAGTATTTTTAAAAATAAACCATGCAATTTTTGGTTAAAAATGCGATAAGTTGTGTAAGTTAAAATTATCGGATCATCCTAATTTTTTTTTATCACCACGGGTCCAGTTTCAATGATCCAAACCGGTCATTTTGTCAGGCATTTTGTGTATTTCATTAACACAAAAAATTAGATCGATCCAATAATTGCAATTTGTTTAATTTATTATTTTTGTCATAAAAAAATGTATGGTTCATTTTTTTTAAAAACAAAATTATCATTTATTTTTTTTAGTGAAAAAACACGGTAAATTGAATAAGTTACAGTTATCGAATCAACCTAATTTTTTTTTTGAATGAAATACACGAAGTGTCCAATAAAATAAACAATTCGAATCATTGAAATGAAGCCCATGGTGGGCTCCACGTGCCCAAACAGCCCCTTTCAGTTCAGATTTTCGACTAGAGGGAATCCTCCTCCTTATTAAAATATATAAATCAACTTTCTTTCTCATTTATTCTCTAATTATTAATCAATCATCTTATTTATATATCATTTATTCTCTAATTATCAACTAATCATGTTATTTAATATAAAGTATGTTTAGAAAGTGTGTCATTTCAACCAACTATCAAGTTACTAACCTTTTATATAAGGCCCAAATATCCAAAAATAATAATAATAATAATTACAAAAAAATTTAATAAGATAATATTTTATTTAAATATTTTACGTTGGGCCTTCAAGAAAATTGAATCGTTATTGATAAAATATATCTTTAAAATAAAATGGGCGCTCAGGCCATATATTTAGATTTGAATTTTGTTTGGCCAAAGATTTAGACGCTGAACTATTTTGTCCATAAAAACAAACTTTGACCAAATGACCAAAAGACCCATGGATATATATATATATCACCACTCTTCTGTTTTGTTCCCAAACCTCATCTATCTCTCTCTCTCTCTCTCTCTCTCTCTCTCTCGGGATATACATGTTTTGTTCCCAAATCTCCATTTTGTTCCTACACCCTAGCCATCGCTGTTTCCACCACCTCTCCGTCGCCACCTCTGAAAATGAATCAATGCTGTAGAGACCAAAATCAACGAGCAAAGTGGATATTAAACCCCCATCTCTCTCTCTCTATTTATTTTTCACAAATCAAATCATCGATTCGATCTCTGTACATCAACAATGGTTGTCATCATCATTTTTGCTCATCTTGGCTAGAGCTCGGCTAGCGTCCTTGCCGGTGAACAGGTCTTAGGAGCCGCTGGGGGCGTAGAAGGAATTTCCAACGGTGACATCGAAGATTGTGATGTTCCGGGTATATAACCCGATTATCTTCGTATTAATTTCCATGTAGATTTGTATTGTGGGCTTTTAATTCTAATTTGAGACCTTGTCGATCGTGTGACTTCACCTTGTTTTTGCATCTTTCTTGTTTTAGTTTTCTAAATCCTTTATGACCAAAGATTTTGAATTTTTGGACGTGAGAATGGAACCAGAATGTAGGAAACATCTTAGAGTGAAATTGTAGACCATCGGGCTTTCCCGTAGTGCGGCCAAAAAGGTCCACTCGTGCGGATTTGTGCAGGAGAAAATTTGAGAACCTAGGTTTGGTTCTGTAGTGCAAGGATTGGAGTCGCACATGCGGGGTAGGGATCGCATGTGCGAAAGGAGATGAGTTTTTGGTTGGGATGGCTTTGCGTAAAACCGCACGTGTAGGAGGGGAGCAAACTTTTTTTCAAAACTTGACCCAAAATTCATTTCCCTTCACTTTTACACATCTCTCTTTCTATATCTATCTTTTTCTCCTCCATCTCTCTAAAACCTTATCAACTCAAATTTCTCTCTAAGATCTTATAAAATCTATCAAGATTTTGGTAGTACTAAATCGAAGAGGGCGACGAGGGCTACATTTTCACCAACAGAATCGCATTTCCTTCAAAGCTGGATTTTGGGGCCTTTCTCTCATCTTTCTCCCAAAGCTTGAGGTAGGGATTTCTTTGAGTTATATACACATTTTTGCAAGACTACTGTTGTTGGGGTGTTATTGTTTATTAGTTTTGAGTTAGGATTTGAGCTTTTATGAGTTTTGTGTGTTTCAAAAAGGGTTTTCATGAAATTTCTCCAATCTTTCAAAACACATGAATTATGTGATAGTTGGGAGCTCTATTTGTGTAAAGATATTTCAAAAATGGAAAAAACCAATTTTGTGAAAACCTTAGAAATTGGGAAATTGAGAAAAAGTTGAGACATTGTGAGATTATGCTTCGTAAAACATCATTTTGGAATAATGATAGTGAAATTGTTATATTTGTAGCTATTGTTATAATTCCATGGATAAATGAGATATTAATTTTTGTGAATTGTAAATAGCTTATTGTTTCACTTGTTTTGAAAAGATGAGATTAGAAATGTTGATAATTATTATGTTAAGTATGTTTTTCATTGAATGAGAAGAAAAAGCATGTGACGATACATTGTTATTTATCTCTTGGAATGTATATATTGATTACATATCTATTGAGTAAAAATGTGGAACTAGATTCACAATCAGAGATTGTGTTGTTCAGATTGGGAATTGTTGAGGAAATTGGAAATTTCAGTGTATTGATATATGTATATTGCATTGTCATTTCCATTTTCATTATAATTGCTTTTCGAATTGGAATCTTTCAAATTTCTCTTTGAAAGGAATTTGTTTTTGTGAAAAGAAAGATCATTTTAACTTATTTTTGGATAAATACGTTGGTAAGTCTAGATATGGTGTCTAGTTGGTCTATGTTAAGTTGGCTTCAGGTCCTAGGTGAAAGTCCAAAAACATACGCTGAATAGGCTCCAATTTCCTTCCAGTTAGAAGCTGGTAAAATGGCTTTGGTAGAGCTTAATATGCTTACTTACAGACACCAACCTAGGGAACAACTTAGTCGTATTACCACCCACTGATTATATATTAAAATCATTGTATTGATTATGTTTTCGAACGAGCATCAGATGAGATTTTCAAATGAGAATGAAATGTATTTTGCGCGTGGCATAACATATACATTCATTTCATGAGATTGCCTAAAATGCATATACTTTATTAAGATTTCTCTATTGGGCTTAATGTTCACCCCTAGTAGATTTGTTGCAGGAAAAGATATTGTGATCTCGCCGAAGTAGAGGCATAGAGAGTTGTTTTGGGAGCACAAGGCTATTTTTCTTTCCTTGATTTATTTTTGACAAGTCAAGGGCTTTACATGTATGGGTTTGATAGCCATTTTGTATAATCAGGCATAAGCCTTGGAACTTGTAATCCATGGGGCATTATCCTATGTTTAATTCTTAGTACCGCATGCTATAGATTCATATTTTAAAAAATGTTGAATGTATAGTTGCATGTGAAACACTTTTGATGATTCTCTTGAGTACAATGAATACAAGTATAGAGATTTGATGATCCGGTGTTATATTTTGTTTATATATATAATGGAAGTGATTAGTTGGGATCCAAATCATATTGATGGATTAAGCTTGAAGATTATCAAATGTTAATAATTTTAGGAACGTTACAAACAGTCGACGTCTCACGGCCATGTAAATCGGCTTCGAGGTCAGCTTTTCGATTTCTCTATGTCTAAAGCCTTTTGATTTCAATACGACTAGATCTCCACCTTGCTCAACCGTCGCAAACAAATCTCCACCGTATCAAAGTCCATGAACATATTTCCTTCACCATCGACGGTCAAAAGATGAAGTGGAGGCAGTGGTGAAGGTCGATGAACTGATTGGACATTAAGAAGTAATGCAGTAGAGAAGTTCGTGATGCGAGCATTTGTGGACAAGAGAAAGATTTTCATATCGTCAATTAATTTGAGCCCTAATTTGGAAATCGTCAATTGATTTGCAGATCACTAACAGTGCATCTTCATTTGATTTGTGTACATTCATTCGATTCAAATCTATTAATCTTCTTCGTTTTCTATTGGCCTAAATTTATGAGACTCGTGGATGAACTACATGAGCTTGAGAGCATGGTACTATAACTTATTCATTCGTTTTCCTTTGTG